TTATAAATATATATTTAATTTAATAATATTTATAAGTTTTAGTATTTTTTTGTTAATAATTACATTTTCATGTATAAATCTTTAAAATAAACTCATAGATATATTTGGTATGCCATCGATAAAGTTTTTCAACTAACGGATTTTCATTGGCTTGTCAAATGTTGTGGGTGTTTGGCGGCGGCGATGAAGTCTGTTTGTTTACAAATTATGATATGATTCACGATACATATCGTTGTGGCCAGGAAATACATTGGAGTTGACGATATAACTCGACCTAATGCAAGAATAGTATATGAAAATTAATTGTTCTTCTTGTTATGTTTTATTTTACAAAATAAAATGCGGCTTTTCTGGTCCCCATTCAATTCATTAGATCATGATTGATAGATATTAGATGTACCTTGCATCTGCGTTCTGTGACTGTGTATTCGGCACCATGGTTACTCTGCTAATACTACTATTACTAGCAGAAAATGTTGCGTCTGCTACAGTCAGGGCTGAACCTGTAAGCTGGATAATACATACACGGCATTGGTACATGTGTGGTAAGCCATAGTTTATATATCGTAGTTCCATTTCTATCAGTATAAGAACACGTAGGTCCAGCGTACAAATTACAATGTATGGGGCATGTACGGAAATCATCATCAGACATATATGCCATACATTACATGGCTGTGTATTCAACTCTGTATAACACGGTAACACCCGATACTGACCTATTTCTGCCAAATTCTAAGCCTATTAGTATTATTACAAGCCAGGGTCCTACAATAATGTAGACTCCAATTAAAATGGTATATATTGCGTTTTTCAAGATCCATGCACTGTCACCCTGTATGTATCATGTGCGCATCATCACGTACTGATTGCCTGAGCGGAAACCACTATAATTTATTATAATATTAGTAATATTACACATGTATTTGTATTTTCCTAGGCTTATGACTGTGAATCCTAACGACAGACGGATTGACTGCGTATTAGCTGCTGCAGAGGTCTCCTGACTCAAACCTCATATCGACCATAATGGCGACAAATTTGGAGTTGAAATTGGATATTGCTGAACCTCATTTTTTTCGAACAAAGAAGAATATAGGAAATTCCAAAGTCAAACTTTGCAAATCTGTCCCATCACGTTCATTTACACAGACAAAGTCGGGTAAATGCCCACAACGTCGAAATTCTACATCTAAACATGTAGAAGTCACGGGATTATCCGAATCAAATGCGGCCAAGCTATCCTTCCCAGTGGAGAAGAGGAGAACCTGGACACTCCGTGATAGAATAAAAATGCAAGAAGAACAAGATACTGTTAACAACATATCTGTTAATTTAGCACACCTAAATCGATCTTCTATCAAGCCGTTCTCTCTCCATCAGGACAAACTCAAAGAAAGGTTCATCAAGAATGTCAGCAAAGATTTAAATTTCGGTACAGACGTAATTACGTCTTTGGCAAGCCCTGGGTCTCTTTCTTATGACCCCAACATGAACACAGCGTACCTTTTTGATGCAGTTGGGATATGTTCAAGCACATTACATGCCCCCAAGTTTACAGGCCCCAAACGCCCTCAAGTGGAAGAGAACAAACATGTGCCTTGCAATATGAGTGGTGTTATGAAAACGAAGGTGACTAACGTGAACCAGGTGGATGATGAGGGTCATCTTCCGTTGTTAGTACCAGCTGCTAAGGAGTCCTCCCAGTTCTCTCTTTCCTCAGCTCCATCATTTCATTATAAAGACCTAGAGTTTCAGTTCAATGATAAACCTTGCGAAGACATGAACTGGGATACCTACATCGTTTCTAAGCTCAGCCCAAACACAGGTACGATAACTTCAAAGTAGTTTATTATGCTATAGAAAAGGATACAATGGTAAACATATTTATGTGCTTACTAGTTGTATTTTGACCCATGCTAAGTCAATCTTTCAGTATATCTTTTATTAGTTAGGTTTTTAATTATATTACTCTGTCGATCTCGTACACACAGATGTATGCACACGTGTGTATTCTTTTAGCGAATTGGGTTGTGAAGAAACACACAGAGGCAGACGATTTAAGAGAAAGGTTGGATGGATATCTGGAGAAACAATATGGCCCCTGTGAGGATACTGCAAGCAAGGTGCTCTCAAAATTGTAGATAGGAATTTTCATCACTTTCTTCACGGATGGCATTCTAGCTTTTGTACATAGATACATAGATTCTGTTCAGCACAGTATATATGGTGAATGATATATTACTTTTAAATCATAATTTATAGATAACATAATTAAATTGCCCCCTATATTATACTCAATTTTGCTATTAATGTATTATTTTAGTAGTATTTTGCTATAATGATATTTAATTTTTGTTCAGTCGATTTTATTTCACAGATAAAACGGTGAACACCACAATGCTCACAAGGCGATGTATGGTATAGTTAAGAAAATAACAAACGTGTTGAAATTCCAGATTGAACTGGTTAAGGAAACAATTAGTACAGATTCAGTAGCAGTGCATGCAGCCAAGAATAATTCCCCACATACACAGTGGAAGAAGAAGGAGCTCGTGTAAGATCAATCTTGTATTCTTGTATAATAATACTGTTTTGTTTACGTTTTAAATAGCTTGGCATACTTAATGACGCTGTTATCGATTTGGTTATCAAATACAAAAACTCATAGGCCCTTTCACGTTGGCATGCATGCACTACCTTATTGATTTTCCTATCATTTAGGCTTATAGCATTTATTGCTGTTTTTAGATTGCTAGAAAAGGCTTTTGCAATGAACGATGAAGTGCATTCTGGCTCTCCAAAGCACTGGAGGGAAGAGAGTTTGCATTCTGTCCAACGAATTAACAATAAAGGTGACAGCAACAGCATGATAACATCTGCCATGCTTTATTTCAGACATGTAGAAACCTTTAAAGTTTCGCTGGGTGGTATATTTGTGATATGTAAATATAATCATGTTCTAAATCATCATTTTCATTGTTGCCACCATCACTACTATCAACATTTTCATTGTTGCCATCATCCAGTGGCGTAGCTAGGATTTTTTCAGCAGGGGGGCACTGGGGGAACTTACATTTTCGTGGGGGGCACAATATATAACTTTTCTTTGTATTATACTGTTCTAACGGCATTGTTTTTAATTCAATTTTTTTTTTATCAAGCATGAATTTTCAGTGTGGGCACGTGCCCCCCCAGGCCCCCCCCCCCGTAGCTACGCCCCTGCCATCATCACCACTATCAACGTTTTTATTGTTACCATCATCACCACTATTATCATTGTCAACATCATTATCATTAGTATGCTAATTTGTTTATATACCTGCATGTTGTTCCGCTCAGAAACTGTTGATTGTGATAATTTTGTTTAATGTCTTATCCCATTCCAGTTAGAAATTGATACAAAATTTATATTCTTACGTTTCTTTGCAGTCTCCTGGCATCATAGGTTGTAAAATATCAATTCCATTTCACAGATATTGAAGTCAAGGACGTCTATCAAATTAGCAACGTGTTGACAACTGATGTTACAGGCAATAAATGTACCCCCACGGCCAAGCAAGGTGACCTTGCTTTAGGTGTGTTTCTTAAATTTAATTACTGTACTTGTTTGGTCTCGAACTTCATCTGCTACAAAATAATTAACTCTTTACCTGCCAGTGGGAACTGAATTTATTTTTCTCATTAACGTGCTAGTGTAGCAACGACTGTGAGGCTTCTGATCTGTAATTAAAAACAAGTATGACTCTATAGCAGTGTCTCTGATTAAGAGATAATTGCACTGAGGTGGACATGTTGGGTGTTGTCACACGGGCAGGCACATCCTACTTTCGGATTCTAGAAGTACTGCAAGGGACCTGTAGTTAGATGCTTGAACTCCATAATAAGAAAATGACCATAATTAGAATGCCGTTGCAGTGCCCTCGGCGCATCGCCGAATATGTATGTGGCAATTCACTGGCAGGGGTGCTACAATTCATGAATATTTGATAGTACGTGCTTCGTCCATCATGGCATTAATATTGCAAGAGGTAGCAGGCAGAATGTTGCACTTAGCCTGCCACCTGTCTGCTATTCATACATGCAGAACGCTAAAAAACGCAAGTCTATGCTATCGGGTCTATTTTTTATAGTCCTCAATGTCATATCCTCATCTTCTGCTTTACAAAGAAAAGAGCGGAAAATGCTAAGCCGAATTAACGAATCCCCAATATGCAGAATTTTGAATTGTAGTCCCCTATATTGGCTGTTGAAGCGTGAAACGGGTTTCAGATGAATGCAGAGTAACATGATCCCGATTTGCATTGCCACTTTGCTGTTGGCGAAATTTCTCTCAAATGGAATATGCGTGCACCATCACATTATACCGTTTCAAGTTTGAAAAGAATTCTAGTACTTTAAATGCGGTAATAATTGTAATGGGAACTTGGTACGTAGCTGCCGGAGCAAGTGGGGGGAGCGAGAGCTACCTTCGGGGTGAAATCGAGCGCGTGCCCGCGGTGTGCACGCATGTGAAATTGACGAAACCGGGTTAGCGTTTGTGCAGCAGCATTTTTCTGCGCGTTCTGTTGTGAGCGCTCAGTGGGAAAGCCGCCTCATCATTGCTCTAGAGTCTAGACCACACTGCAGTGCGAAGCGCTGGAAAGTTGACAACATGGGGTATAATATTTTGGGATGGCTGCCGAATTCGATAAGATATTATTATTTCGGACGATTTGTTTTGATTTCAATCACGCATATCGCCACCAATATTTTCCCAGGAGTTTCTCTCCGCTGTTGTAACAGTAATACACTGCCTGCTATCACTATAGATGCCCCTCACTTCTGCCTATATATCCTATATAATTATATAGACGAGGGAAAATACGTGTCAAACTGCTTTGTGATTATTTAAGTCCATGCTATAGGGTCTATTTTTTATAGTCCTCAATGTCATATCCTCATCTTCTGCTTCACGAAGAAAACGCACGCGTCAGTTGTGCGTGGCCATTTGGTTATATTAAATATAGCATGTTTTTGACACTAGATGGAGCTGTGTGTTTAACGCGTAACCGTGTGGGTTCTTAGGCTGAGAGGGTCTATGTCTCCCAGGGTACTGCCGGAACGTACCCTGGGTATGGTCCGGTATACCGGAACGTACCCTGGTACTATCTAATATGCTGGACCGTACCTCGTCTACTCCACTAACGAGTCTAGGGAGTCGCCTACGCCTACTCCCTAACCGTAACCCTTACCCTAACCCTAACCCTAACCCTAACCGTAACCCTAACCCTATCAAATAGTTACCAGGGTACATTCCGGTATACCGGACCGTACCCAGGATACGTTCCGGCAGTACCCTGTGGGACATACACCCTATGAGCGATACTTAGGTTTGGTTATTCCGTTCCGGGATATTTGTACCCACTGACGTCGTGACTTAGCTGCACTGATTGCATTATTTGATTCACAAGGCGTAATATACGGTAGAAAAATGTAAATTGTTGCATAATTTTGCCACCAGGGGGTTCTGGCGGGAACCCGGCAACCACCGACCGGCTCTCGCCCCGAATGCTTCTCCTAGAGCAGGAGAAGTCAGTGCACAAGCAGCTGCAGGTCTGCTACCCTCCCGACCCCACGCAATGGGCAGGTGTTAGCAGGAAGAAGGAGCCTGGAGACAGAGGTCGGCTGGAGGTCGTGAGAGGTGCACGACGATGGATAGGTCCGCCCATACCCGAGCAGGTGTTTTATCATCTTTTCTCTAAAAATAATCGGTTAATAACGATCTGAACGCCGCGCGCTTACTGTCGAACGAATCTCAGAAAGTACGTGGAAAACCTGAGGTAGTTATATGCTCTCGAATTGCATTTGCTAATGATTACATGCATATCAGATCTCGGTTCGCTAACGATAACAGATATATCATGTTTCTCTGAGAGCTGCGCAAAACGTCGCGGGACCGCCGTCAGTTAATGATTAATAATCAGCAAAATTCCACTGTCATCTTCTGGCCAAATTATTGTTGAATATTCAGATAAAGTACTAGCGAATGACGCGTGTTGATGAATCAGACGAGAACAAACACGAGCCGCTTGCTTTTTTTCCCCCTAGGGACCTGAATTCCTGCCAAAGAGCAGCGTCAGCGGAGAGTCGCAGTCGGAGCGGCAGATAGGTGGCGCTGACGATTCGGACGAGCGCGTCGAAGGCGAGTGTCGCGGAAATGACGACAAGCTGCTGCTTCGCGTCGGTGAGTGTGGTGATATCGTGCGTCTGCGCGTCAATGTCGCGAGCGAGACAGCGCACTTTGCGTGTCGCGGTCTCTGTCGGACTCGCGACGAGGCGTAATATGCACGTGTAATGTGCACATAATATGCAATGTAACGTGCGTGTAATATGCAATGTAACGTGCGTGTAATATGCAATGTAACATAATATAGCGAGGCGTAGTATGCACGTGTAATGTGCACGTAATATGCAATGTAACGTGCGTGTAATATTCAACGTAACATGCAAGTAATATGTAATGTAACGTGCATTTAATATGTAACGTAACATGCGCGTAATATGCATGTGTAACGTGCGGGTAATATGCAACATAACATGCGCGTGATATGCATGTGTAACATGCGGGCAATATGCAACGTAACATAATATAACGAGGTTTGATATGCATGTGTAACATGCGGGTAATATGCACATAATATGCGGGTAATATGCATATGTGTAACATGCGGGTAATATGTAACGTAACATGCACGTAATATGCATGTGTAATGTGCACATAATATGGTAATATGTAACGTAACATGCACGTAATATGCATGTGTAATGTGCACATAATATGCAACGTAACATGCGGGTAATATGTAACATAACATGCACGTGATATGTATGTGTAACATGCGGGCAATATGTAACGTAACATAATATAACGAGGTTTGATATGCATGCGTAACGTGCGCATAATATGTAATGTAACGTAATATAACGAGGCGTAGTATGCGTGCGCATGTGAGTGCGAGCTACGGGTGCACTAGTTGTTGGGGAGTCGGCACGCGTTGCCATAAATCTAGTTAACCTATCCAAAGCTGCTCTCCGTGGATCCATGTCCGATTCGCACGCGCATTTTCTTACGTTCTTGCCTTGAGTATCTCGTAATTTACTCACTTATATCGTTAATTAATCGCCCCCTCAGACTAACGCGTCTTTTGTGTGGTGACTGTAGTCGCACTGTTCGATTGTAAGTATGGAAAATTGCGCAGGATCGATAAAGTTCGGACGAATGTAGCTGCAATCGGTGAAAGTTTTACGCGAGTTCGTCAAGTTTTATGTGGGCAGAAAATGCTAAGCCGAATTAGCGAATCCCCAATATGCAGAATTTTGAATTGTAGTCCCCTATATTGGCTGTTGAAGCGTGAAACGGGTTTCAGATGAATGCAGAGGTATAGTTGTAACATGATCCCGATTTGCATTGCCACTTTGCTGTTGGCGAAATTTCTCACAAATTGAATATGCGTGCGCCATCACATTATACCGTTTGAAGTTTGAAAATAATTCTAGTATTTTAAATGCGGTAATAATTGTAGCGGGAACTCCTGCGTACGTAGCTGCCGGATTCGCGCATACATCACTCGTGAGAGATTTGATAACTTAATGATGTTTTACACGCAAGCGACAAAGTCCCAATAATTTCCAGAAATTTGTTTAAGTTATTAAAGGGAGAGTTTACTCTAGGTTCTAGGGTTATTTTCAGCTAATTTAGGTTATAATTACGCTACATAAAAAGTTTCATGGTTCAATCACCATTAGAAATATTTAAAAAAAATGTTTTAAAACTAACGACTACAGTTTGATTACAACGACGGTGGCGCCACTCAAAGCGCACGATCTGATAAGTTTGTAAGTGAGAACCTTTTTTATTGTGTGTGATAGTGCGTCAACGATTGGCTCTTTCCCTTTTTTGCCCAGCTTTCATTTCATTCAAGTGCATTTGAGAAGCATAATAATGATCATGCACAACTTGAGAAAAATGTGTCTTGATAAATTTAGTACCGTTCTTTTTTAACACGTTTTTTTTTTATATTTAAATAAATTCTTATGCAGAAATCATCAAGAGAAAGTATGTTTATGAAAGTTTAGGAGATATCATCACATTAGACACTGATTCAGGGATTAAGCTGGGAACACGAGCTATATTCACGCAAAGAGGACACTGAGTAACTGAGCATCGGTTTTAATAATGCAATTTTCATTGCAAAATTGATGATATATATACACGCATATATGATATGACTGGACCAACAATAATAACGGAGGCCAATTTATTTTGTGATCAGCCTCAACACCAAATGATTGGTTTTCTGCTTTTGTTTTCTTGATTTTATGACTGCATGTGGACACCCTTTTCGTAATCTATATCACAACCAAATGCATGTGTGTGTGTGTGTGTGTGTGTGTGTGTGTGTGTGTGTGTGTGTGTGTGGTGTGTGTGTGTGCAGGGGCGTGTACAGGGGGGGGGGGGTCAGGGGTCCAGACCCCCCTGCTCGCGCGCAGAAACCGCATCTGAGGGGGTCTAATTTCAAAAAATTTCTGGGGGAGGACCCCCCCTTCTCGTGCTCGCTACTGCATGGTGTCCCCCCCCCATATTTCAAAATGGATATTCGCGCGCCTGCAGTTAGTAGCAACTGTAACGATGTTAAATGTCACATATCGTAAAAGGGCGAACAAGCCAGCAGTCACAGGATAATGTTGTTTTAGCAGCCGTAGTATCCGGCAGTACCCAGGGAGCAGGGGCGTGTACACATAGGTACCGGGACCACATAGGTACGGGAAACATAGGTACCGGGACCACATAGGTACCTGGGTACTGGGACAAATAGGTACAGGACACATAGGTACCGGACACATAGGTACGCGGACACATAGGGGGTAAGCCGGGACACTAGGTACGCAGGACACATAGGTACCGGGACCACATAGTACCGGGAACATAGGTACCGGGACACATAGGTACCTGGGGTACTGGAACACATAGGTACCAGGACACATAGGTACCGGGACAAATAGGTACCGGGACACTAGGTAGCCTGGGTACTGGACACATAGGTACCAGGACACATAGGTACCAGGACACATAGGTACCGGGACCAGATAGGTATGGACCCCAAATCCTGTACACGCCCCTAAGGGAGACATAGACCTTATGAGCGTAATCTAGCAAGCGAGGCGGGGGGGGAGTTTCAAAATGCCACGCAAACGCCCACGCAGAGGGGGAGTTTTAGAATGCCACCGCAATCTCGTGGCGAATTCACCCCCCCCCCCCAAATTGCGTGGGCGGGAAACGCGCGCTCGCTCGCTTGCTTGCTTGCTTACCTCGGCAGCGCACAGAACAGACTGCAACAGCGCGCAGACGAACGTACGGGTTTAAAATA